TCCCTAACACATCTCAAAATTTAAACACCACTCAATTTCACTACCTAAAAAGATTGTATCACCCCCTAAGTTTCTAGTCAATTCAACCATCACAAGCAAGAAAACAATCAAAGCTTGCGCCTAATATAAAGAAACAACTGATGAAGGAATTAAACAATGTCTATGAAATCCGAGTAAAAATGAAGTGTTGATGATGTTTTCACTACCAGAATCGGATAAATGCGTCCCACAGGGCACCAATGGCAAAAACAGCAGGTAAGACGATCTGGCCTCTGTAAATGGAACTTGGAGAGGCACTCTTGACTGGGGAGGCTCTGGGAGGGGGAGGTGGGTTCTCAACACGGAGAGCTAGTTTCATGCCACCGTAGCAGAAACCTTTGCCACTAACAATATAGTAATGGCGAGTCACGTTCAGTGGAACCACATCCCTTCCAGCTCCCCCTGTCCAATTTGTAAGTGGATGATCAGAGTTGCATGACTCATAGTCCGTCTTGTTCACCTCCAGGACATTCATCTGGTTTCTGTCATACACGAAATCTGCAGAATGCAGTAACAGATTAACATACAATCAAAGAGATGAGGCCAAATGGTTCTAAATTCTGAATCAAAGTTATGAATTTGATCAATAGTATTACAGAGCTAAGCAGCACAGTTATAGATGACAGAACCTCAATAACATTATTTTCTAAGGCAAAACCCCCAAATCCATCCCTTAAATAGGGGGGCAAGGACATATATGGCCTTAAAAAAATTGTAGAGACAAATTTTCCTTCCAAATTATAAATCAAGATAAATCACTCATTTTTTAACATGTGACGTCAAAATTCTATTTGTCACGTAAGCATTTTTAACGGAAAATTGATGTCACACATTAAAAAATGGGTAATTTATCTCAATTTATAATTTAAAGAGGCAATTTGTTCCTACATTTTTTTGAGTGGATCTGTCCCTGCACCCTTATTTGAGGGGTGGATTTGGGGCTCTGCCATTTTCTAAACTCCCCTTCCTATTACCATTTAATTAACCAGTAAAAGTTTCTGGAAAGATGGATTTCACTTTTTTTAACTCGAAAAACAATACTTTACACTAAGCATTAAATCACCAGATGAATTTGGTCCAACAATCGAATTGGCGAATTAAGCTGCATAAGTCTAAAGCTAAACTCAATGAAGCCAATATCTTAGTAAATTTTAGTTAAAAGCGGAAATTATTGAGCAGATATCAAAGGGAAAAAAGTAACTGAAAAGAGTAGAAGACAGGATCTTTTAAATGAACAGAACCAGAATATCCAAGTCCGGGAAACAAAAAAGGGAAAGTAAAGCTCCCTTTCCTGCATTAAATTGAAATAGGCACCAAGAAGAATTTGAGATCTGATTAAATATAGTTTATCAAATTCCTAAAAGGTTAAAATTTACCCCAATTGAATTCAAATCCAGTTTCATAACTAAAAATTAATGAACAAAATCAAACCACTTTCTTTTTTCTTTTTTTTTAATCCCGGCATTGCCTGGAATGTTAGAGAACAACCCTTGACAACAAATTTTAAAGATAGTTAAACAGGGAATGAAAATCATGATGTTTCCTAATCTGGAATCCAGCTTCATTTTTCCAGCAGCAAATTATAAAAAAACAAAAAAACAAAAGTATATTGGACTGAAACTAAGGTAACCATGCAAGAAAAAATGGAACTTGAAGTACCAATTTCAGATCTAACCACTGAGCTCTCACACAAACAAATAGATCAAAGAGAAAGTGAAAAAAAGAAGCAACCCATCTGTGGAACAGCAGAGAAAGAGCTAAGAAACTAAGCAAGAAAAGCCACACCAGTAGCAAAGCATGCAGATCTAAAGATACATGCTTGAGAGGAGAGGAGAAAGGAGCAGCTTACAGAGCCAGTCTCCATTGTAGAAGTGCTTATCCTGAGCCCAGATGGTGTAGTTCACATTGGTAGCCCAAAACTTGTTTCCTCCTACAGTCCACTTAGTAGCTTCCACCTCTGACACCATCACCGCCATGGCGCAAGCCAGAACTGCCACCGCCGCCATCATTCTACCTCTCACCACCTCCATTTCTCTCTCTCTTCTTTCTTTCAAGATGCTCTGTTTTTCTGTTGGTTTTTCTGGGGTTAGTTGGTTATGGGTTTTAGTAGAAGACACTAAGGGGACAGCTAGCTTTATCACCGTGAGGGTTTACAGTTTCCCTAGTGTTCCTACTTTCTACAACTACCATGCCTGCTACACAAGGAAAAAATTATAACTGTGTTTAATTTTACTGTCATAATTAATTGGTAATTTTAATTATTAATTAATATTTAATAGATAATTGATATTATTACTTAAGAGTTAAACATTAGCTTATAAAAATATTTTTAAATAATTATAAATTAATAAAATAAATATTAGAATATTATAATTATAATATTTTTATTCTTTTTAAATAAAATATATATGTAATATATTGTGTGTTGATAACAATTGGATATGTTGTCACAACGTGCCCATGTGCATACATAGTAATTTTTTTTTATTTTCTTGAATTAAGAAATGTTATTTATGTTCACACATTATTAAAAAAATATTTGATTTCAAAGGATTTTAGCTCCATGTTCTAGGATGTTCCTGGGCTTAGACAAAGTTAAATATTAATAATAGACCCCTGTCTTTTATTCTGTCCTGCCTGCTGCCCTACACTAGCAGTTAAGTTTTTTTAACTGCCCCCACCCATGATTTTCACATCTTGTCGTTATTATTCTTTTTCTCATGATATTTTTGTAGTAACATCATGCACAACAAATTAGTTTTATCTTCTTCTTTTTTATAATAAAAAATAATTATAATTAGTGTTAGTATTTATTTGTATTTAAAAAAAATCAAACAGTTGTAGGACGTGTAATCCACCTGTTGGCCAAGGGCAACGTGGCCACTATTAAGCTACATGAGGCTCTGCAATTAGTTTCATCTTTTTAATTTGCTTGAGACGTAAGATCTAAGAACATTTTATGGTTCAAGAAAGTAAACTCTCAGTCTTTCTAATTTTATGCTTCCAAAATCTACAATATGTATTTTAACTGTTTTAAATTTTGAATGTGAATTCATTTTTTCTTTCCTCTAATCTTTTCATTTTTCATTAGTTATGTAATTCAAATTCATATTTAATTCCTTTTCTTTCATCTAGTTAGTTAGTAGTCCTAGTAGTAAATATTTTGTCAATTTATTTTAGTTTATAGAGTTAGAGATAAGAGTATAGCATTTTGCACTTCAAATTGTATTGAAATTTAAAACACTAATTATTAAATAGAGAGATCGTTTTTTATTATTAAAAACCTACTCAAAATTCAATTATTAATATTTTACAATCTAATACATTTTAGATGATAAAACACTTTTTTAAAAAATATTTCAAATATTTTTAAAACGTTAATTATCTTCAACTTGAAAAAGTTTATGACTTTAGATTGGGGGATTTGGAGGTTAAGGAGAGCTGAGTGAGGGAGATATTTTCTTCAAGTAGTGATATATGAGTATAATTTTTTTATATAACTTTTATATGTTATTAAATAAGTGAATGTATTCAATATTATGAATCTCAAATAAATAAAAAGAGTTAATCATTTAAATGATACGAAAAATTATAAAAAAAATAATACAAAAGTATTATCTCTAAATCATTCTCTTATTTTCTTCACATTATTTGAATTACTTTAAGAATTTGTCTAACATGTACTCTGAAGGTACAGGTTAAGGGTGTAATAAATATATTTTTTTGTAATTAATTTATATTAAAAATTGTAAAATATCACTAATACATGAATAATTTTAATTGATTAATTGATTAAATTAAAATCAATATTTATACTTTTAATAAATATTAATTATAAAAATATGTATTTATTGTACTTTTATCTTGCACCCTAAAGACAAAAGATAAAAAAATCCTTACTTTAATTAATGGAGGGAAGGGAAATAGAGGGGTAATGTCTCCTTCCCCTTGTACCGACATAGTTTATAAATTTTTTTCATCTTAATTTTCCAGAAATTTAGGTGATAAATATTTTCTCTTCTTATAATATATATATATTAAAAGTGACGTGAATATTTCAAATATTGTATGGCAACTATTTGCAAAATTGCAAGTGGCAATGGGCCTCGGGATGGGCATGGATTTAAATTTGAAGGAAAAAAGCCCATAATCCTGATACCTGCTTTCATGCGTTTAATGATGTTGATTGTATATAGCTGCCGGCTTGGACCAGCATCATAATTAACAGCACGCTACCACGTGAACAGTCAAATTGCATTTCATAATTGAGTAACAACTTTCATAAAAATAATTAAATGTAAGAAATAAATCGAGATGCAATTTTGAGGCATGATTCGGTTGGGAAAATTCATGTCGAGACATTCCATTGAATTGGCGTGTATAAAACTTTTGGAGGGTCTCAAATTCAAAATTTATAAATAAATTGGTTGTACCATTTTGAGGGTCTGCAATCATGGTGTCCCAACAGCATCAGACTCTGTAAAACACCCTCTTCTTTATTTCTTGGTTAAATGCTAATTTTAGTCCCTTAACTTTAAGATTTTACATAATTTTTATCTTTTAATTTTTTATATATTTTTTTGGTCCCTCAATTATGAAAAATATATTTTTTTAATCATTTCATCAGTTATTTTGTTAAATTTATCTAACTATGTACATTTTTAATCCTCTAACTTCTAATATATGCATACTTTTTATCCCTCAATTTTAAGTTAAGAGACTTAAAATGTGAATATTTAGATAAACTTAATAGAATAATCGATAAAAAGACTAAAAAAAGTACATTTTTCACAATTGAAGGATCAAAAAAGCGCATAAAAAAGTTAAAAGATAAAAATTGTGCAAAACCTTAAAGTTGAGGGACTAAAATTGACATTTAACTTTATTTTTTTTGGGAAAAGAAAGTGGAATACTTAACAAAAGAGACAGGTACCATACTTGATATAAGAGAATTGCTTTACAAGAGAGATTGTATGTAATTTATTTTGTAAAATTATTTAAATGTCTTTAATAAATAATATAACAAGAAAATTAAGAGACGGACTACATACAATCTGTCATGTAAAACAATTTTCTCGTTTGATATAGCCCCCACTCATGAGGTTTTTTTCTTTACATAAAGGAAACATACCTTAGTCTTCTTACACAACTACACAACAGCAACAACAGGAAGGGCTCCGATGTGGCTGCATTTCATAAGGTAAACAAAACGGCTTATGGATTCAATCCAACCTCCTTAGTAAGTACTCAACTTGAACTTCCTTTGTGAGTGGCATGATCCACTCCCCATAGAGATCAGCAACCAAGCTTGGTTTTATCTTGTACACCGGATATGCATCATTTTGCTGCTTGCCCACAGTTACTTTAATCCCATAAGTTTTGGCTTTGATTTCCACCCTTAGCTTGATTGCCTCTTCAACCACCGGGTATGTAAGCATTTCCATCAGTCTGTCCCTGTCCTGTAAAATCAAAGGCAAAAGGTAAAATGATGCAATATATTGTGTAGGAGAAATGCTGCTTGGACTGTACCTGTGCCCTAATAGCAGCTGTATAGTCATTAGGAGATTCTTGAAATTTAGCCTCTGCTACAAATTTACCATAGTGAATTCTTTTTGAAAGTGTCTGCAATAAGAGGAAAGATAAGTGTTCCATAAGATAAACTTGTCACTTTTGTGAGTACAATCACCCATGGTAGGTAGAAACTGGAAGCTTGAACCAGGAACACATATACATGCTTGATATAGGGTACTGATGCATGGTAAGGATAAGTGGAATTTCTAAAGAGCAAAACCTAGTCTAAGATATTCAGTTCTGTAATTGAGAACCATTTGTCATACTAAATGAAGGGAGGACAAAAAAAATGGGGAAGAAGAATAGAAGCAGCAACATTCAATGCAATTAGAGTGCCTGAGGTCAATAATTCAGAGAATTCCAGAATCACAGAAATCGTGCCTAATGTATAACTATAGGTCAATGACTCAGAACATCTGATTTCCATCCAAATCTAGACAGATGGACAAATTTGGATACCTGCAGACACATTGTATCACAAACAGCAGTAGATCCACAATTGCCATCGTTGCCCTGCTTCACAAGCCTCGGAATGAGATCTCTGAAGTACATATCCCATACTCTTTTGTTGATGTTAATCGAGTCAGCACAGGGGTGCAGTACCTGTTTTGATTGTAAGGAAAGTTACAACTTAGCTCAACAATGTTAAAGATATGGGCATGCAGAAAGAGGGGGAATGGGAATTATGCTCGTCTAAAGTAGATAATATGAATTTTAACAGCAACTTTCACATGCTACACTTGAAATTTGAATGATTGAGAAAAACTGAACAGAAGCTGAATTGATTGAGTTTATGTAACAAGCAGGTAAACTTGCTACTTTATTATGTATTCACATTGGTCTGAAGATTTTCAAGGAAAAGCAATCACAACTTCTTCAATCAGTAACTCCTGGAAACTAACAGAAGATTATTTTACCAGTTTTTTTTACAATTTAAAACTGCATTCAATCCCTTCCCTTTTGTGCTGAAACCAGAAGAACTATTTTTTTTTTTTTTTTAATGAGGAGAGAGTGAAAAAATTTAAACTGCTCTTGAATTAATATATTGATCAGAGGAGTTATGAACCAGGATAATGACATCATTGGGAAAGTAAGACAATAGTTTTCATTGCATCTTAGTATATTACCTTTGGATATTGCATAGGAGGCAACAGCGGCTCAGGCAGCTGGTCTGGGAAGAAAGGATGCTCATCTGGGCTCTTGTATCTGCCAACCTGATTTACAATTAAAAGTCAATCAGAAAACCTGTACTAATGTTTTGCTCGAGTTCCTTATTACCCCTTCCTCCCAGTCATTATTCTTCTTGATATATGTTTGAGTTAAACATACCTGAGCATGAAGCTTCTCAGTCTCTTGAACCAGATACTCCACCAAAGAGCCATGGAACCCATCCATTGAGAAAGCATTGGGATCATATGTATCTGCATTATAACAATATTGAGCTCTCTCTAGAATGCTAAATATTATACTGTCCTCTTGTTGAATTAAAGAACGCCTTATGGCATCAAGAGTCAAGTTCTCGCTCTCATCCACCCTTTCCTTGATAGACAGTGATCTACAAAAATAATATCAAAATATTGATATTAAAAATCCTTGAAACAGGAAACAAGTATGCCTTTAGACATTTGAGCTTTGAAAGCAAGTTATGTTAAAAGTTAAGGAACAGAAATGTCAAAAAAAGAAACAGAAATTTGCATAAATTGAAGAGCAATTTCAAGGTAAAATTTCTGAATGGCTTAAGGGCAGCCAAAATATTGTTATTCCAGTCATCTTTTTGGTACAATGTTTATAATTTATTGGAGGCCAATGAGTTCATGCACTGCACTTTGTTACAATCAAATCAGATGAAATAGGCTCATCCAAAGCACATTATACTCGTTATAATTGATTCAAACAACTAGGTTTGCAGCAAACTGCAATTTGAGTAGGTAGTTTTGGAGCCTGACGTTGAAGATATCATATAAGAATATTCATCATTCTGCAAACAAATGTACATGACTGATGTAAAAGGGCCCGATTACAGCAGAGTGTATAATGAAAATCTGATCTAATAAGAATAATTCAGTCAGGAGTGCTGAACAGTAGTTAAAACCAAGACTTCTTACAAATCTAACTATTTGAAAATTAGAATTAATATAGAAACAAACATGATCACCATAACAGGGAGGCAATGCATCATCAGTCAAATTTAGAAGTGCAAAACTGAAAGCCAATGACAACAACTTGCACTCATGATGAAAGAGAGCAGGAATCAAAACTAAAAACCAAAGCCTAAGGAGTGCAGGAATCAAAACTAAGCAAGGAATAGTCCAAAATATGCCTATTTTGATAATGCAGGATATTAGGCATTGAGAAAGTGAGGAACCACACCAATCCATCTCAATTGAAGAAAATGTATGGAATTAAACATTTACTCACACAGAAGAGTCTAGTTTTGCAACATTTCTCACAGAAAAGTGAATATTTATGAGAAAATTACCGTGATGTGATATGAATTCTCTTACAGCAATAGGATAGAACCACTTCTAAATCTCTAATCAACAAATCGACAACCAGGTAGGTGTGATGATGCCATCAGGAGTCAGAAGCCAAAACTTTTTTTAATGTTGAGACCAAGACATTTAACCATAGCGATTGAAAATTATAATTAAAGAAATGAACCCCCAAATTTCATAACATGAACGAACATAGAACATCAGCCAAATTCAAAAGCAATAAATTGATAACCAAAAACAGAGTATACCCCTTTGAGAGAAATCACATAGATGACTAAAGTAGAGCGACAAGCAAACACAAACCGATTTACATGTCTAGAAAACAAACCAAAAGCTTAAAAAGAACAGGAAACAAGAAAAAAAGGAAGGCTTTTTCTGTAAGAAGCATAGCAAATTCAAGACAATCGTGCAGTATTGGAAGCTTAATTCTGATAAATAACAAAGATAAAAGAGGAAAGTTTATAATTTATACCCAGAAGAGGTAGCAGAAACCTGAATGGATTGAATGCTGTTCTTTGCCAATCTTGATGAATCCCCCACCATGAACCTGGGACTTTGTATGGGTTTCAGGGTCAAAGTGCAGCTGGGTTTGGAAAACTTGGACCCTTTAAGAGCAGCTACACCTGGAGAGGAAAGAAACAGAAGCTTCGACTCCATTGCTCAGAAGAAAGAATAGAGGATGAAAGGAAGAGTGTCAGGGTGGAAGTTGCGTGGAGTAAGTAAACAACACATAGGGGCATATCAATACAAAAGAGAAAGAGGAGATTGGTTCGCGCTTTGGTGGGGAGAAAGCGTTCAGATGGAGATGGGTAGGTGGGTTGTTGAAAATAGCATACCAACCAAAAAACAAAAAAAAAAACTAAAACTCCAAGGCGACAAAAAAATCAAAAAACAAAACAAAACTCCAAAAACGTTGTTTGTTATTTTGATGCTTCGTTTGTTGCGTGGAATAATATGATTCCTTTTGCACTTAAATTTTTTTAAAATATATATTCTTATAATACATACAGGTTAATGATATTTTTAATATTAATTATTATTAAAAAAATAAAAATTAATTTTTATTTAATTATTTATTTAATTAAAATAATTTATATAATATTAATATTAAAAATAATATCTATTATTTTTTTAATATCAATTAATGATAAAAAATTTATTAATTATATCTTTAATTTATATTTTATGTGCACTAATTAAAAATTTCAGAAAAAATAAAACTTCTTTTTCACCTTTTTTTTTATTAAATACCTAAAAACACGCAGATAGAATATAACACTCGATTAACAGAAAAAACAAAAAAATAAAATAAAAAAGAGGAAAAGGGTACAATGTCAACTGGATCAACCATGCACATGAGAGATTATGACTTGAGACCCGTATCATTGGGCTATAATACTATTTCTAGTACAAATTTGAGATTAAATCAAATTATTTATGCAACCGGCCTTAGGTCTAATTGATTCGTCCCCCAATATTAATGCGTTTGGATTAATTAATTAGGATTTCGAATTCCACTGATACTTTGAAAAATCTTCTTTTTTTAATCTTTAAACCGTAAATTGTTCAAAAAAAATCAAATTATTTATGGGAAAAAAAGGTTTTAATTACACCCATAATTCCACACATGGAAAAGCAACTCAAGGGGTGCGCCGACCTTCAATTATTTACACCATTTGTTGGTGCTCTGACACAAGCAAGGTTTTAAGAACCGGACCGGTCATTGAACCGTTTTCAGGTTTGGTTTTCGGTTTGATCGGTTTAACCAGTGAACCGACTAGTTCAAATAACAAGGGAAATTTGATGAGGGGAATAGGTGATTTTGTAATTTCATTAAAATTAAGGGTTAAAATCGGTATAAGAAGGGAATGGTGAGGGTGAAATTGGAAAAAATTAAAAAGAAAATTGCATGAGAAATTGAATCGGTGGTTTTTTTGGTTCTATCGGTTCCACTGGTTTCACCGGTTTTGACCAATTTTGACCGGTTTTGAATGATTTTTGACCAATTTTGACCTCAAATGGTTTTTTTATATGAATCGAGCCATTTTCATTATCGAGTATCGGTCTAATCGGTTCAACCAACCAATCCGGTCCGGTTTTAAAAACCTTGGACACAAGAATCCATAAGTTAGATGTTATAATAAATAAATAATTAGCAAATGCATAATTTCTTAATTTTATTTATAATTTTTTTAACATGTCTTTAAAAAAGTTATTATAAGTTCAATAAGGTCATGACTAGTTTATTGTTACCTTCTTTTTTTTTCTTACTAATATTAGTATTTTTTATTCCTTTAGCTTTGAATTAATTGTCATGGTTGCTAAAAAAACACATTATTCAATATATCCAAAAAATTGTTGTGGTTACTAAAAACAGCAATGTAAACTAGTTGTTTCTCCTTCTACAAGCGAGAAATAAAAAAATTTAATTATTCCATAATAATCTTAAGGTTAAATACCCTTTTTGGTCCCTCTACTATAGAAAAAAATCCCTTTTTGATTCATGTACTGAAAAAATCCCTTTTTTAGTTCTTACTGTTCATAAATTCGACCTCTTTTTGGTCCTTCCGTTAAATTTTGCTCACGTGGTACGTTAACTTAACTGAAACAGCTGATGTGGATATGCCAACATGTAAAAGATCCTTACGTGGACTCCAGGTCATCCTCTAGGTAGACTCCACATCACCCTCCACATGGACTCCAC